CCGCGCAAACGCCACCGTGGAAACGTCAGAGCAGTCGCAGCTGTGCGTCATCGTTGCTTCCTTTCACAGTTCGCAGTCAATCAGTGACTCAAATTTGTGATGTGCTTCGCTCAGTCGAGCTCGGTCGTTGCATCGGTTTGGATGGCGTGCAATGGCTAATTTGGCATCGTCGCATCTACTATTTATTACGTGTTACACTCGGGTACGTGATATTCTTGTGCTTAACCTGTCAATGCGATAGTGATGTATCGTAACGTTATATTCATGTTAATGCATTGCTGCTACACAGATCCACGCATGTAAACAGCTGGTTGTCTCGTCGCCAGTCGGAGAGTGGGTCGACGACGATTCTGCGGGATAGGACGCTCGCTTGTTGACGCTCCACAGGACGCTTGTGAATTTTTCAATCGTCGATACATCGGAATCCTAAAGAATGGAGACACAGGAGAAACTCGAGCGCGAGAACTCGGCAGGAAACAACCTGCAAAATCGCACTTGGAGTCAATGTGACAGCGAGGAGGAGGAGGAGATCGCCAGCGAGAATGCACTGCTGAACGAAACCAATGAACCGAGGTTTGTATGTGAGCGCGCTTATCGAAGATATTTGCCGATTGAAGATTACGCATTAGCCGATTATCATGAGTACTATTAAAGTTGATAATTGTGTCGATTGCGTGTTTATCTGACAGTCTTGGCGTTGTTGCGTTTTCTTTGTTACACTTCGACCGATTAAATTCTTCCTTGTATGTACAGTGTAGCGTTTATAGCGCTACATCGCTCAGTTGTTTCTAATGTTTTATTACGCGCGTTCCAAGCACGCAGTGGTACGCGAACGTTACAAGAATCTGCAGACAGTAGTAATCAGTAGCAGTGTTCGATAGATCACATGCAGTGGTAAAGAGCTTGCAAAAGATAGTAGTCAAGTCTACGTCATATCCGAGCGTTCCGAGAAAATGTGATTGAAAGATAAATTCATCGATCGTCTTGCACGTAATTGTAAACATGTAAATGGATTACTAATTCCATATCATATCTTTTTTGTATGTATCACAAAGTGTGGACACTGATATTTGGAACAAGGAATCTCCTTGAATAAGGAAACATCTTGACATTGAATGCAAGGCGCATTTAAGTTCCAATTTTATTATTGTCTTCTACTGCCATTTGTGTTCGTGCCATTATATTGAATATAAAGATCTAAAATATTCTGTATTTATACTACCGAAGTGACACAATTTCAGAAGTTGGTGTTTTATGTTGCAAAAAAGTACATCGCTGATATATTGACAATATTATTTTGCACGTTATTTTAATCTGTTACTAATCAATCTGTTATTAACTTATATTGTTTTAATTTTTATTTCTATGAAATATGGATCTGGAATATCATAACCAATATTTTTATTATTAATATTAATAGTAATATTAATATTAATATTAATAGTATATTAATATTAATATTAATAGTATATTAATATTAATATTAATAGTATATTAATATTAATAGTATATTAATATTAATATTAATATTCTCATTACGTAGTTCCGTGATTGCGCTCATATGCATTGAGATTAATCTAAATTTCAGTGCTGTTATTACTATGCTTAGCTTAATTTATTAACTGACGTATGCTCAAAGATAAGATAGACATGGATGTATACACTTTTTTAACAACTTAAGGTGATTGATGATTAGTATACAGAAAGTTACTATCGATATTGCGTACATATCTATCATCACATATATTTTACCACGCTTCATCAACGTGAATATCCATAATCTTTACGAGCTTAAATAGTACGTGTTATCACATTGTCAAGTACCATTACATTGTCATCATATTCTGCAATGTCATTATAAAATTAAACATTATAATTGAAAGCATCGTGTAAACACACACGAACGATTGAATTGTGAACAGAAAGATTTATTTATTTTTGCTATTGAATAAAAATGGAGTATCGAAAAAGGGTATAAAAGCAGCTAGTAAAAATTAATTAATTTAGTGGACTTATTTAAATGAAATACGTATTAGTATCATTGACATGAAATCAATATATGATATTACATTATGCTAGTGTTAAACATATATAAACAAAACTGTTTTTAACACATTAGATTTTATGTGAGAAATACTATAAATACAAATCAAATCTTACAGGCAAAATCATTCCACTCCGATGGAATGCAAAACTTGCTCGGTCACGACGTTTGCGGAGGAAAAAATGCGCCGCAAATTGCGATTTTTCTTCATGAATCCGATCGAGAAGTGGCAAGCGAAACGGCGTTTCCCGTATAAATTCGTCGTCCAAGTCGTCAAGATCATCCTTGTGACCGTACAGCTCTGTTTGTTCGCACACAACAATTATATGCATGTTAATTACACATGGGACAACCGAATCACGTTCTCTCATCTGTTTTTGATGGGATGGGATTCGACTCAAGAAGTATGTGACTTAATCTTATTAACTATGTGCTCTCAAATCTAGATAACATTTTTATTTCTTGATGTCATGTTAGCGACAGTGAAAATACTCTGAACGAAAATTTTTACTTAAATTTTTCAGCATTTTTGTTATTTAAAGTAAAATTTTTTAAAAGAAATGATTAAATAATCGCCGTATTTTTACTAATTCTTGATATTTATAACATATATTATTATAGCTGTGCTGCATTTTTAGCGTAATAAAAAATAATTTTTTCAGCTGATTATTTAAATATGGAAATAAACAGTTTCTTCACTTTTTTAATCATTATTTCTTATAAGAACTAAACACATGAGTGTACTTACAATGCTTATAAATTTCAGGTACCTGCATATCCACCCGCAACAGGACCTTTGGCAGTTTACAAACGCAGCGGTTTCTTCGATGCCATTGATTACGCACTGTCCGGCTACTATCACATTGACGATGCCATTGGCTCGTACTCTTACATCGCTGAAGACAACTCGGTCGGACCTGTAATTCTGTGTTTGTATCAGTACAAAGAAGGCATCATATTCGGCTTCAACGAGAGCTACGTATTTGACAACGAAATCGTAGAGACATGCGTGAATATCAGTCTCGAGACCTTTCAGACATTTACATCATCGCACAATCTTCTACAAAATAGAAACATCCATGTCAACTTCTCTGCGCTAGTACGCGCTCATCTCAAATTCGCCCTAAAGACTGTAAACTTGAAAGCTGCCGGACCGATGACGCCTCCCGATTGCTATCGCTTTAACGTGAAGATCGATTTCGATAACTGCGATTTCGATGGACAAATGCTGCTTTCGTTGGACGCCGAGGCCAGAAAACTGCAGTGCAAAGGCGATACCCGATATATAACGGACAATCGCATTGAATCTGCGCTTAGAACCCTGTTGAATTTACTCGTTATACTGATCTGCTCAATTTCCCTGTTATTGTGTTCGCGAGCGATATATAGAGCGCAGTTGCTGAAATTCGAGACAGTTAACTTTTTTAAGAAGACGTACGGCACGACGCTGAGTCTCGAGGGTCGTCTGGAATTTTTGAACCTCTGGTACATCATGATTATCGTCAACGACTTGTTGATCATCATCGGCACCATTATAAAAGAACAAATTGAACGGAAGCACTCCGAGACCGATCACTGGAACATCTGCAGCATATTTCTCGGCACCGGCAATTTGCTTGTATGGTTCGGCCTTTTGCGTTACCTCGGCTTCTTCAAGACCTATAACGTCGTTATCCTGACTCTGAAAAAAGCGACCCCGAAGGTGGCCAGATTCTTGATATGCGCGATTCTCATATATGCCGGTTTCACATTTTGCGGCTGGCTGGTGCTCGGACCGTACAACATGAAGTTTCGTTCACTTGCGACCACCTCGGAGTGCCTGTTCGCGTTGATCAACGGCGATGATATGTTCGCAACATTCTCAATCACGTCTTCCAAATCGGTGGTGCTATGGTGGTATTCTAGGATCTACTTATATTCGTTCATCTCACTGTATATTTACGTCGTCTTAAGTTTATTCATTTCTGTGATAATGGATGCGTACGACACGATCAAGATCTACTATCGCGAGGGCTTTCCGAAGAACGACCTGCAGACTTTCATAGCCCCGTGTACGGATGAGGCGACGAGCGGTATCTTCAGGGACGAATCCGAAAGAAGCGATTTGACAGAACTGTTCGATCGGTTCTGCTGTTGTCGAAAAAGGCCCTTTTACGGATCTTTCTCGGACTCGGGAGACTCTCCGGCCAAGTCCGAACAAATGTGCGGCGGAGCCATCTGCGTCTAGCGCGTTAATAGAGAGTAACTGGAGGTGTTATGGTGCAACTATGAATACGCGATACGACAATAGATCAGTTACATCAACATCCTTGATCTAGTAATGTTGATTGATGATTTCCTGTTTTTGGATCTGAAGAAACGAAAGTTAATTGTGTCTTTATAGCTATTATTTCATAGTAACGCACCTATATTCATCTCTCTTTTGTACTTTGTAAGAACTGTGACGTTATTCAAAAACATTAAGAAAATTGAAATCTTAAAAGTTCTTTAAAAATAAAAGAAAGGTAGAATAAAAAAGATTATTCTATTCCCGACATAATTTTGATTTTTCTTAAATATTAAAATACAAAGTTACCAGCTAACAGGGAAATGAACTCTAATTGACTGATACAATTGACTCAAGTACACAGATGATGATAGCAAATGTTGCATTTATGCGACAACTGCGAAATCTTTCTGTTATTGCCATATAAGTTTAGTTTTGAATGCAATAGTTTAGAAAAATGTTTATTATATTATATATGATAGTCTTTTTTCATTTTAGTTTTTAATATCTTATAAAATTATTAGTCGCAGAGCAGAAAAATCAGTTTTGCTGACTTTGTTAAGTTATATTTTATTAAATGCTTTCTAGAGGTCCATTAACTTCCAACACTTTTAGCTAAGGCCAATTAAAGTTATATTTATAGGTGCATATTGAAAAACAAATAAGTAAACGAAAAACGAGCGAAATTTTCAATCTACTAGAGTGCAACGCTAGTAGCACTAACATAGTAGGTAATTTTTGCTGAACGTGATGTTTTATCGCTATGTCGAAAATTTGTGTACAAACAGTATTTTATCGAAATAGTTTTTAATGTACATTCGCGTTTATAATACACGATTGTGCATTTATTATTGTACTTTGTAACCATAAATATATCTCTGATATTTTGAAAAAAAACAAAATATATGTAACGTTGCTTTAAAAAATAGTAATATTGCTTTTATGATGTGTCGAATATCAACAAATATTCTCCAAGAAAGTAATTAGAAACCTCGTTCAAGCAGCTTAATCGTTACATAAATCAATGTTGTTATAATAATACCAAAGTTACCGTAAAAAAAAAGACATGTAACGTATAATTTAAGTTAAACATATCCGTGTTCATTGAAACATAATACATTTATATTTGATTTGATAATTGTTCTACAGCTTGTAAGCGTGTTCTGCATAAAAGTAATTTATATTCGAAATATTTGTTTATAAATTACATAATTATGCAATAGCCATTGTTCTATCTTTCATGCATGTCTGTATTGTAGTAAAAAATATATAATCTTTGTATTAAACGGCTTTTACAAGCACTTGTATATAAATTACGTGCATTCCCTGTAGGATGAGTTCGCACAAGAGCAACATTATCCAAAGAAATATATTTATATATTTACATTGAAGTACAATAAATGTTCAATTTTTTTAAACAGAATTCATTCTTTCAACTTTACCCAACATTCAATTAGACGTCTTAAATGCAATTTAAAAAATAATTTTTTTTAATTTTAGATGTGAAATATGGTGTCTACATTATAAATCCAACAAGTATATTTTTTATTAGAATATATTTTAGTTGTAAATTCAAATATTTAAATTCTCAATTTTTGAACATGACTAAATTTCGATTAATAATTACAGTTGTACAATTAGCTTACAATTCAGCCAAATATCTAATAGTATTTTCTTCTATAATCATTGTGCATTTACTATTATTATCCAATATTTAAAAAAAAAATTATAAAAACTTATAACATTTATTGTTAATTGCAGTACCATAAACGATCTAGCAGCTCGCATCAAACAATAAGAGACTATATTCTTGCGCAAATATATATTGGAAAATTATTTAAAAGGCCGTACAGGAAACAGCTGTTTTATACTGTAAGCGCTCATTCACACAGTTACGCCAAGTATTGTGTATCTGAACGAAGCCAAACATCATTAGCGAGCTTTATATCTATCCATGTATATATATATATAAAGCCTGAGAGGGAAACAGGAGGGAGAACAAGTCAAAATGGAAAAGAGGGAGCGAATCGATGCAGTTGAGATGCAGTATGTGCGGCAGTTTGTGCATTTTCGTTACCACCAGGCGGCTGTGCACGCTCGGTTCTTTGTTCATCCCTCCATGTAACGGACGGGCAGAGCACAGTGAGCGAACGTGCGACTCGATGGAACTGAGTGAACGGCTGGCAGCCGTCAGTGCCGAGTGCGCTGACCCGTGGGACAGTTAGTGATGGTCGTTGACCGTGGCTGAGCGCGATCCATTGTTTACATCGGCGCGATCTTGACGTATCCTGAGGAGCGGCGTGTCGTGTCGTGTCCCGTCGTGTCTTCCGCGTCGAACCGACCGCATCGTCGTCATTGTCGTCGTTGTCATCATTGTCCTCGCTCCTTAAACGACGCGAGTGAATATGTCGTCGTCAAAGGTAGCGGGAGGCTCTCCCGTGAGAGCCACGGCGAACAAAGCCGAGCAGCAGCAGGAATTCCCGCTGGGCCTGGACAAGGATGCCAGCGAACACAGCATCTCCAGTATGATGTCGTGCGTGTCAATCTCGCCGAAGCACGCGGAAAGCAGTCTACGAGTTATGGAGAGCTATCTGCACAAGCAACAGCTGACTGACGTTACGTTGATCGCAGGTGAGCAGGCGGACGCTTTGTTTTGATAACAATGGAGGTAACTGTCAATTATCAATTTAAAATGATTTAGATAATAATGGCCAATCAAATGTTTCAATAAATTGGGGCTATTACCATCCGAAGTTTTTTAATTAACAGATAAAGATCAAGGTTTATTTATTGAAAATCTTTTATTTGAGCAATATTTTTATTATTAAAATTGTTTTATTGGTAATTAATTTGCTATTATTCAAAGTTTCTAAAAAAGAATTGAAAAAATATAGATAAAATATATTCTATTTAAAAATATTTTTAACAATAATTTAAGATATCCTATTTTTTCCGTTTCTTTCTGATTCATACTTGTTTCTTTTTTTAGGAAATAGACGTGTTCCGGCTCATCGACTAGTACTCAGTGCTGGTTCTGAATATTTTGCTGCTATGTTTACAAGCTCTCTACGAGAGTCAGGACAAGATGAAATAGAATTAATGAATGTGGATGGCGATGCATTGTGGGCTTTGGTTCTTTACTGCTACACAGGTGACTTTATTTGAAATATTTTTGAATTAAGAGAACATTTTGAGAATATTAATAATATTAGTTATAAATATATAGAAAGCATTTGGTTATTTTTAATTTTTGTTTAATTTTTATATATATATATTTATAATTCTAATATAATTTGTGTGTATATTCAGGTTGCATCGAATTACAGGAGGATAGTGTAGAAACCCTTCTTGCAACAGCATGTCTGTTACAATTGAATCCAGTTATTAAAGCATGCTGTCAGTTTCTCGTCAAACAACTTCATCCGAGTAACTGCCTGGGAATACGGATGTTCGCCGATACGCAGGGTTGCACTGAATTATTTGAACACGCACATGCATACACAACCAAACATTTCATGGAAGTTACAAGAAATCAAGAATTCTTACTCTTATCCGCTCACGAAGTTGCCAAATTACTGGAGTCTGAAGATCTGAACGTTCCCTCAGAAGAAACCATCTTTCAGGTAAGATTGATTATATGTTACATGAATTACACATTTATATTTAAACGTAAGACAAACACACAAACTTGTATAAAATATTTTAAAAATATTATATAGCTGTAGAATTATAGATATATTTTTAATTACTAATGAGTAAAACGTTTCATACACATATAATTAATATCTAAACTTAAAGCATAGAGAATATTTATTATCGTTATTGTTATTTTTAGGCTCTTATGACTTGGCTAGAACATGATCCAGAAAATAGGAGCAAAGACGCCAGCAATTTATTAGGTTTAATAAAATTACCATTACTGTCACCCGCGGTGAGTGTCTACAGATTTTCTTTTTCCTGGCAGAAGCACATTGTATAATGGACTAGCTAATGAATGAAAATAGTTTATAGCTGACAATATTGAAAGCAACGAAATGTTCAGAGACCAAAGGGTGGCACAGGAATTAGTAATGGAAGCATTAAAATATCATTTATTACCTGAGCGAAGACCCTTGCTTCAATCAGGAAGAACAAAACCAAGAAAAGCTACTGTGGGTACGCTGTTAGCTGTTGGAGGGATGGACGCTAATAAAGGTAATGTATTAAAACAAATTATTTAATATCAATTTCACAAGATTAAAAATTAAAAATATATATGTTTTTATTAATACATTGTTTCAAAATTAATTGTGCCATTTTAATTTTTTCAAGCAAAATGATTCGATGCAACCTAACTTACAGGTGCGACGTCTATAGATGCCTTTTCATTGCGTGATAATGCCTGGAAATCTCTAGCTGCTATGAGCGGCAGAAGATTACAATTTGGTGCGGTAGTAGTCGATAAAAAATTAATCGTCGCGGGCGGTAGAGACGGCTTAAAAACGCTGAATACGGTAGAATGCTTCGATTTCTGTACTCTAACTTGGAGCACCTTGCCACCCATGAATGTTCATCGTCACGGATTAGGTATAAATCAATGCGGAAAATTTTCATTGATCGATTTCATGAATAACTTGACAAATACATTCTAATATACTTTATTTAAATTACAGGTGTGGCAGTCTTAGGTGGGCCTCTCTATGCTGTTGGTGGCCACGATGGCTGGAGTTTCCTTGATACAGTAGAAAGATGGGATCCGGCAACGCGTCAATGGAGCCCGATATGTCCTATGTCCATACAAAGATCTACAGTCGGTGTGGCTGTGCTAAATGATAAGTAAGCTTACCAATGAATTATATTTGCTGTCACGTCCATTACTTAGCGCACATTTTCATATGCATTCAGACATGCATCAAATAATATGTAATATATTCTTCAAGTTTTATTATTTGATCTTAGTTTTTAAGCCGGTTTCAACGTAACATTTTATGACATTTTAGATTATACGCCGTCGGAGGAAGAGATATTAGTTCCTGTTTAAATACTGTAGAATGTTACGATCCACATACTAATAAATGGACACCATGCGCGCCTATGTCAAAGAGACGAGGCGGTGTAGGGGTTGGAGTGGTAAACGGTTGTCTCTACGCACTCGGTGGCCACGATGCTCCGGCTAGTAATCCCAATGCTAGCAGATTCGATTGTGTGGAAAGGTAGTTTCTGCTGCTAATATCATACGTGAATTTATTAAGAGTTGTATCAAGGTGTGTGTAATAGAATGTGTCGATGTATAGATACGATCCTAAAACCGATACATGGACTATGGTTGCACCAATGAGCGTACCCAGGGACGCGGTCGGTGTATGCGTGCTTGGTGACAGACTTGTGACTGTGGGAGGATACGATGGTCAACAGTATCTCACACTAGTGGAAGCCTACGATCCACATCTCAACGAGTGGGAACCCGTAAGTATATATACACTGTTTCCATAATTGAGTATGTGAAAATAATGTTAAATATATAATTTGTATAAAATTTAAATTTATTTCTTTGAAGGTTGCTCCTCTTAAAGCTGGCCGCGCGGGACCTTGCGTAGTTGTAAAAAATTTAACTAGTGGCACCTAGATCATTCTTACTAACAATCATTATTCGAGTTTATTTTTATATGATTTGTATTCGCAATTATATATAATTTTGTGTATTTCAGGAGTCTTAACACAATTTGCTCTCTTGTGATATTGCATGCACTTTAAACTAATTCCAATGTTATTTTTCCGAAATAGCTTAATTAATTTCATAAGTATTAAAAAGTATTAAATTTCTTTTTAGAATGTAGCAATTTTTATAGAATTTTTACACGTTTTCATATTGTCGCATTGCTTCGAAGAAATTCAAATCGTTATAACTGCCAAAGTTCACTTTATTTACGAATGTATACATAATACTGCGATTTTATATAAATTTTCTATGTGATGCAAACAATAATGGTTGTGGCAATTCGTATTTATCATATTAATCTAGAATGTAAGCAAAAGATCTTTTAACGAAATCTATATGTGCAAACACATTGTTCTCTCATAAGAGAAGTAACGTTGCTTCTCATAAATTCTCTATATTTTTTTGAGATATACGATAAATCATAGGCTAATTTTTGCTACGAACAAATGGTATAAAATAATTATGAGAGAAAAACTGAAAAATTAATATTATGTAGATACTTTAATATAATATTTGTATGTTGAATCATGTCGATAACTTTTTTAGAAATCAAAAGTTTGAGTAGCTTAAACTTTGACAAAAGAGAACGTATACATGTAAGAACAAATTTATTTTTCTCATCATGATAGATGTCTTTATTTACACATGTATGATGTCTCTATATTCGGTAGTTATATAATTTTTTGAAATAAATAAAATGATCATATCGAATAATTAAAAGAAACTTTTCACATTGTTCATTAAGTTTACATTGACCGTTTGTTAAATCTTCTTTTAACAGGCCGGGAACGTCCTGAAACAGCCATAACAACAAAATATATATCTTTTACAAAATTAGAAGTAAAAATTGTAAAAATCATCAGAAATATGAAACATGTCCATTCCATTTTTCTAGACAGAATTCTTATAAAGAATATTCTTTGACCTACCTAGGAAAATCTGATGCTGGCTCTGCGAACTTATGTCTGACCATGAATGTAGCGATAGCTTCCGCTACTTTATCCGGGACGTCTTCGTGAACAGCATGTCCGCAAGCGGGCAATACTTGCATTTGGAATTTACCTATTTTCAGATAATTATTATTTCATGAAGAAATACGTACAAAAATTATGTCGCGACATGTGCATAAAAATCATATACCTTGCATTTGGCCTACAGTAAGTTCACGATCTAATCTGTCGACTCCTGCTAACAATAACATTTTCGGTGCCGGAACATTCAAGAATGCCGTCGATAAGCCTTTAAACCAACCGAACCAGTGCTGTTCCGTCTTTGCCAAATCTATTCTCCAGACATATTTCCTATTGGCAGAGACAGTGGAAGACGCACGTGATGGCGGTGGTGGCATGTTGAACGACTCTTCCTCTTGAATAACATCATCTCGTGTTACAATTGATTCTGGATTAGATTCACATGCGTTGCATTGAGTTGCCAATGACTCAATATCATGAGTTGCTAATTTGCTAGTTTCAATGCTGAAATGATACATATGTGTCGCATGACTCAATTTATTTCAACACTGATATGAAAGTGTTACAAAAATTAAGATATCCCTAAAAACTCACTAACTTCTTTATTTGTCCGGGAACCGAGACCTTTGCAGATTGCACATTACGAATTTGTCCGCTACGAACACTGAAAAATAGTTAAAAATCACTTGATGTAAAACTTTGTATGAAAGTACATTGAACATTTGTACTAAGAATTAATATCAATTTTATTCAAAGAATCAGTTTGAGTTATTTAAAGAATATACTTTTCAAAATATGATAACTGATGTATTAATAAATACCGTAATAAATACTAACCACCATTCTATAGCCTGAGGTATGGTGCTAAAACTAGACGGTCGAGATCTTAAAAAACTCTGCATAGAGGCTAATGCATCCATCGCTGTACCTTCTACAACATCTATAACTCCTAATCCATACAAATTTGGAATTAATGAAGCTGCTCTCACAGCAACTGCTCCACCCATGCTGTGACCGACAAGAATTATCGGATCATCATGCGCAATTGCATCTATAACAGCTGCAACATCCCTAGGTAAAAAGACAAAATATATAACTTATTAAATGCATATGTACGAAGAGTTTGAAATTTTATGTACAGTGACTTAGAACAAATAGTATACATATAAACTAAATTTTCAAATATTTTCATGCTTTAGCAGAGATCTGTAAAAATTCATGGATTTTGTTGTCATTTTGACAACAAAAAATTTAGTCAATTTTAATCATAATTTTTTATATTTAAGATTAAAATAAAGATATAAAAAATATAATTAAAATAATAAAAAATAAGCAAATATACATTTTACTTACGATGCTAAAGTATCCACAGATAAATCCTCATCATCTGTAGTATGAGTGTCTCCATGACCTCTAAGATCAATAGCCATGACTCTACATAATACCATTGTCATGATCGATTTCTAAAATTCAAAATAAATATTAATTTTCTCTTTTCTAGTGGATTATTAGCATTAAGAAAAATACTTGCTGTAAGTTCTGCCCATGTTAAGCCACTGTAACCACCACCATGTAATAAAACTAATAGCGGTCCTTCAGTGCCTTTAATATAGACATGAAAAGTATTCTGTTCCACAGGTACATCCTTGGAATGATCAAAATATGGAATCCACCGCACCGGATCGTAGTCTCTCTTTCGCTGGGACCCTCTTGATTTATTAACTCTTAAAGAAAAAAAAGGAAATATCCTTATACAAATTAACATCAATGATTTCTTCATTTTTTAACTTTGCTTTTTAATTAATTTGAATCTGATTTTACTCTCTTGATTTCATAAAATCGCACGAACCTGGAGTTTAATGCCGAGAAATTAACAGCCGACGGTGGTAATTTGGATCTCAAAATTGACTTTTGGAGAGCAGACATGTTGATGTTATCATAGACGCCAATGATACTATGTCGGGAACGTTGTTCGGACTTGTATTTTCAATTGCAGTCACATATATAGGTTGAGAAAGAAGTACGCGATATAATTATGCGTGTACATAAGTGGCAGAAAAGGAGCACGAAAATGATATGACATTAACTAACACCAAGCGGAGAAAGAACATCACAACATGAAATGCACACTAATACACATCAACTTGCGCCGACTGACAGTTTAGTTTGACGTCACTGACACTTACGCGAAAATGGCGCAATCAGCACAAATATTTGTTACTATCTCCAGGTAGTGCCAACTTTATACTATCTGTTTTTTCGGGTTGGTAACACTGATTAAACATTTGATTTGAAAACGTTATGAGCGAAAAGAGAAAGAGTCTACAGAGTGATGCTTATTCTGTTTTACACATATTATTTAACAATAAGTCAGTACTCGAAATTAAGGCTGATTTTTCCAATTTCTTGGTAGATTTTATCCGTCAGTTACCTATTAATAAATATCAGTAATCCTTACTCGGTGGTTAAAATACCGAGTAACATTACTTTAGGAGAAGAAAGAAAGCGTCAATCACGAAAATTGGTTAAAATGCTCAACTAATACCGAGCGCTAATTTTTATGAAAAAAATACAATCAATTACAAAAAAAATTTGTTTATTTTATAATATATATCGGCTAGTTATATGGTCTACAATTAAACAATTAATCAAAAATTAATTATGAATTAACAACTAAAAATAAACGAAAATTGCATTACAAATGAAATACAATCAATTTCACTCCTAATTTTTTTTAAAATGGCGTGAATCGTCAGTTAACACCATACAAATATGAAAATAGCGCGTAATCGTTAATAAGCGTCCAAAACGAACGCAGCTTACAATTAAAAGTCACAACACAAATGATACTCATAAACACAAGTGTCAGTATGTGTTTTGTACGCGTATACTAGGTATAACAAAATGAAATGGTGAAAATTTCATAACGTATTTTATAACGTAAGAATTTGTAATACATAAAACAACTTCAATTAAATATTTCCAAGTATTTTAAATTGAAACACGCAAATTAAACATGTTTCTTATATTGAAATTGACAATAATAATTTTACTAAATAAAACGTACGCTCATATCACGCAAGATAGTGAAATAATATTGTTGCCGTCATGGAACTCAATAAACGCAAAGGAGGTACATACGTGCGTTTTACTGCACTGTTTTATTTCTTGCCCAATACCCAAAACATTATTCGACAATTATTAAGTCTTTTATTAATTATTATCTAATTTACAGATATTATTAACTCTCAAAGTTTTTGGAAAATTAATTCAGCTGAATATGCGCAAGAATGAACAGATCATATCACCTGCGTTTAAAGTATGGAAATATAATAGTGTCATAAAAAAGTTGTCGGAACTGAAAACATCGAATCCTTGCTATTATAATCACGAGGATCATGTCAGCTCCGCAATCATAAACTTCTGTGACAAACATGGATTGGTCAGTGGTACTATATAAAAAACGAATTAATACAAAATTTTTATTTTTTTACTTTTAATCTCTATTTCTTTTCGTTTTGCATATGAACAAGAGACACAAAAAACGAATAAATATTTTTTATAGGAAGGACTTGTTTTTCTGAAAAACGACACATTGAAGATTAGACCGTTGCGGAATGACTTTGCGTCTTTGTCCTTAATTGATGATTTTTGCGTTAAAGAACAAGTTAATCTTTCATTCGGCAAACCTCACCTTGTTAAAAGATTATTGCAATATTATACTGGTTCAAATCTTTGTAGTTTGAACAATTTTAAACGGAAGCCACGTTATGCACAAGATGAACAAGTAAAATATATTATAGAATTGGCCGTTTTTTTCGACGAAGCTGCATATCGTAAAATCATGCCTTTTCTGGGTGAAGATAAAGAACTGTTACACATTATGATATTAACGTATGTGAATCAAATGCAGGCTTTTTTTCATCATCCAAGTTTAGGTGTTTCTATTGATATTTCGTTGGTACATTTGGATATTTTGGAAAAACAGCCGTCAAATTTGCCAGTTATTGACGGCAACGCTAGCCAAGTGCTCAATTCGTTCTGCACATATGCCGAAACTCGTAATCCTCCATATGACAAAGATCCAGGTCACTGGGACATTAGTCTTTACCTAACCGGAATAAATATTTATTCAGTGGACCATTCTACCCTAGGAAGATCCTTCTTTGATGGCGCGTGCAACTCAAGTAAATCGTGCGCAATAGTAGAATTCGGTGGTGCACGTGAAGAACTTACATCGGGTTTTACATCGTCTCTCGTTGCTGCTCATGAGATCGGCCATCTGTAAGTTTATATATAATCGTTTTACGTATAAATTAAGTATAAGTAATGTCTTATAAAAATTTATAGAATTGTATAATTTAAAAGCAAAAAGTAAGGAGACTCTTTTTATAATTTAAAAACAAAAAGTAAGGAGACTTTTTTAAGAGATTTGGTTCTTTAATTGTTCAGTATATTTATTATAAATAAATTATAATAGAAAAGTATTTAGAATAAACAATGCAAAGTGAAATATATTGTCAAATTTAATAATTTATTTGTTCCAAAGGTTAGGAATGCAACACGATACAAAACAGTGTGAAATATTTAATAATTACAAATACTTAATGTCACCTCGCATGCACTATCAAGGCCAGAGAACATGGTCCATGTGTAGTCGTAATACAGCTAAACTTCTCTGGAAAACAAAAGAATGCTTCCGAGATAATACGAGACTGGAAAATCTCGCGGACGTTGCACTCGATCATTCGCGTTATCACGATTTACCAGGAAGGAAATGGACCGCGAAGGCACAATGCGAATTATTTTTCCGCGACAATGACGCAAACGTAGTCACGTTGCTTGATATATGTAAAACTTTAGAATGCGAGACACCTAACAAAAGTAAATCTTACTTCACAGGATCGGCGTTGGAAGGTACGTATTTTCTCACTGATTTCTCAAATACTTTACAATATAATTGATCTCATTTATTTTGTTTAGGAACTCATTGCGCACTCGGGAAAGAATGTCGTGGCGGAGAATGCGTGCCCGTCATTGAACCGCCATACAATTTTAAGTTTTGTGAAAAAGATAGATGGAGCGAATGGGAGGAAGACTCCTGTAAAAGCAGTTGCTTGGAGAAATCCAAAGGCGTACTAGCCAAACGACGTTTATGCAAACATCAAATTAACGGTTACATCAAAAGAACGACGAATTGTGCAGGACCATATTACGACATGGTTCTGTGCGATGATTCTTTACTTTGTACGGAGAAACGCAAGACGATCCACGAGTTTGCTACTATGAAATGCACGGAAGTCAAGGATATCATGTCCCAGCTGGACACGCAGCCGGGATGGCAGATTGCTCATGAAGTCGATAGACCGTGGATAGCTTGTACTATATCTTGTTTCCTAAAGAACAATTCTACCCCTTACACACCACGCCTAGAAATGCTTAACTTTGGTGACGACCCATACTTTCCAGATGGAACGTGGTGTCACAACGAAAACGGCCAGAACTATTACTGCCGCAAGCATTATTGTCTGCCGGAAAATTATTCATTAGATGAATCCCGAGAAATTGAATTATTGTCGAGACATTATCAAAATGTGTGAATGAACATCCGAAAAAAAGAAAATTGCAAAACGTACGTACGTCAATTTAGATCCGTTGGTCAACTTATGTAGTATTTGACTTAAAGTCGGATGAATCATGATTGTTAACTTCTGGTTTGCGTATTATCCATTTTTTGTTCTATATAGCTACGAAATGTCAACTAGATTTTATGTCATATAACGACAACTTTATCGATTACTATTGGTAAAAGCAAAAAGAAAAAAAGTTATTAATATACAAGTTTATGACAAAGCATTGTAGGTAATGTGATCAATAAAATGATGGCATTATTATTTCATTTAGAGGAAAGTGAAGAAAAACGATAACGTAGAAGAGAATAATAATTCACTAAATCATTTGTTTCAATATTGTTTAATGTTTTATTATTATTTGTAAATAAAGTTTGAATAGTTTGGACAAATAAAGAAATACATATTATAAAATTGAATCATTTTTTAATAAAATAGTGTGAATAATTAATCAGTTCTAGAATCTCGGAGCGCGATACATGGTACGCGCTTGGTACTTTATATGTCGTTATTAAGTCTCATATAATTTCTACCTTATTCTAATATTTAATTTAAGGAATTTTTTTTATTAAACATATTTATTTAAAAGAAAATTTGACTTGCAATATCTGTCACCATATGTGAATTGTATTTTATTATTTTCTTTCTTTCGGCGCGTTATCGCGCTTATTATTCTTTACTCTGCATCTTTCCAAATCGAAATCTGTGCAACCTTGTCTTTCTTATTATCCTGTTATTATCCGCACGGTGACACTGGCATCTACAAGGCATCGTTGCATATTAACGCGTTATCTTTTCCGCTACTATCTTTTATTACATTTCACAGTTTTTCACTCCTCTTTTTCATCGTTACAAGCATGTGTCGCGTGTGAAGTGTTTTGAAGAATTCTTGCGAAAACGCGTACGAAATTAGCGTTCAACGTTGCCTTTAAACTTTTCGGTACAATTCTCTACGTCGGGAGTACCATTTAAAGTGTTGCGCTATTTTCATTTGCATGTCGCAAAGGCGTGTAAGTACTTTGTGTGAACTGAGGGCTAAAAAAATGAAGAGGGGGCTTAGGAAGAGCATCGATACCCGATAGAGCAACTTTGGAATGAGTGATTATTTGTTATTTAGTATTTACAAAATGTTGTGTATAAAATATTAGAAATACTCAGTAAAATATTCAATAAAAAATATTTGCAATATTTAATATATATTCATATTTAATTATTAGAAATTTTTGACATATTTATTATAATTAAACTTGTTTTCAATAAATATTTTATTAGATATTTGCTTAGATAAATAAACAAAAACTTCAATATATGTAATTATTATTTTATAAACATTAATTATTTTGAACGCAACTCTAATTTGGATTCACTTTTGAATTTTGCAGATCAACTTCACAGGTCAACAGAACAACTCCGTTGCTGCGCATTGTACCGATGAATAAGTTCAATTTTTGTTGTTATTATTAACGATTTTGATATAAGATACATACAACTATATAACAACTATAAAATTTAACATATTGTAAAGCGCATATAATATTAATTTTATAAAAATTTTAGTTTACATGTTGCAAATTTGGTATACATTAATTTCTAAAAGAACAAACTATTTATTATTTTGATAAATTTAAGTTATATGTCACGCATTATATGTATACCTATATATGTTGTTCTGATTTGATATATAAAAATATTAAAATGTATCAAAAAATATTATCCTAATAATACTCATATTCTTTTATTTGCCATTTTTCTAATACATAAATTTTATACATGAAGAAAAATCAACATGTGATATATATACAATGCAATTGAAAACCTGACTAAAAGAATCAGCCAGGTATTTTCTATGTATTGCACAGAAACCAATATATAATGTACTACGCTATGTGCAGTTTTCTTATTAAAATTCCTATTAATTATTTTGTTACTATTCAAAAATGGATAATAAAAGCGTAGCATTTTTATGAATTTAATTACAATTGCATAATACATTTCTCCTTCTGCAATACTTTTTACTTAAAAAAATATTAAATACTAAATGAATCTCTGAAAAAAGCGAATTTTGTTGATTCTTATAGCCATAGCTGCAACTGCTATTAATAAAACTTTATTCAATATATTGATATAATAATTTCGTATTTAAAATTTTTGTATAATATTTATAATTCATTATTTACAAGGATCATATACGTATAATTAATTAAAATAGAATTATTATAATAAACTCTAAAGTGAATCAAACAACAATGAACCTGCCATAAGAAATTGAAGATCTGATCGATCGCACTATGTGCACATTCTGACAAATTAAACAGCATGGATGGCAAGAGAGGTCCCTCGGACTTGAGCTGAGTGTTTCTTGCGCGTGACCGCCTTTCTTAGCACAAGTATGGTGTGTATATGAGTTTACCTCTTCGAGGTAAAAAATGGCACTTGATACTTTTATAAGTATCCTATTATGAAATGTATAACACTGGGAAATGTTTTACTGCTAAATATGTCAGACGCGACATATATAAAAGATTGCGTCAAATCAATAAATTCTTTCCTTTCAAGTTTTACTAACATCTGTACCATCCAAAATTCGTAAAAATTCTAAATTTGATCATAATGCAAATTCCTTCGCTTTAATCGTGATTATTCTGCAAAGTATAACAAAAATGGAAGAGCATGACAAAATGTGACTGCAATCTATTTATCACATGGATATGAAAGTATAAATAAATGCAGGTATCGCCAATTATCCCGTATAATCGAGCAGGCGCCGCGGAACCAAGGGGGGGGG